TAGGTTGGGGGATTAGGTTCTGAGCCAGAAGGAGATGGGTGCTGGGAAGCGGGGGACTGAGTCTCTTGCAGGACTGCCGACTTCAAGAGAGCAAAAATAATGAGCTGAAGCCCCCCATAATCAGAAGATTTTAAAAAAGTAAGATTATAGTGTGCGTTTAGGTCAGCCTCCAGAGGTCTGCACTCCCCAGGCCCATACCCTGGGTGTCCGAATGTGACAATTTAAGGTGCCCACTCTCCCACTGCCCTGGGTAAGGGGATTCTTGGCCTCAGATGAAGGGCTTCTCACCCCTACATCTGCCCCTCTCCTGCCTAGTAATTAATTTGTCCCCCAGCCTCCCTGATCCATTGCCCCCACCATCCTCAGCGCACCTCCCAGTATAGCCCCATCTGCCCAGAACTCACCATTAATATAACACACCATCAGCCTCCACTTCTCACTTCAACCCCCTGCAACACCCAGGCAATCATTCAGCCTCTCCCTGAGACTCACTTCTGCTTCTCTTAGGGTTCTACCTGCCTCTCCCCCCAACCTCCTAGAGTCCCCTCTCCCACTTCCTAAGCTGACAGTGGCAGCCCCAGCCAACCAAGGCTGACTGACAGTGAAAGGTTCTCCTTGCAGCAGGGTGGGGCTGCTACTGTCAGCCCACTCCATGAGGCAGGGCTCCTTTGTCATCCCCAGGGCACTTGGTCAGGTGTCAGACCCTCAGCCACCCAGGGTAGCCTGCCAGTGACTAACCTAATAAATCCTGCCATTTGAGAGTTCTATCATGAGTTGAGCTTAAGGTTACAGTAAAACTCCAATAGTCTAGCATCCAATAATCCTGATAGTCAGGCATCAAAATGACAAGAGATTAGTGAGTGAGCTTCAGCAAAAAAGGAGTCACAAGGTAACAGCGGCAGCAGCTGAACTAGTAAAAAGGGTAAAAAAGGCTTAAAAAAACTAAAACATAACAGTATATTGTATACAGTATGTACAATAAAAAGGGTTAAGAACACTTTATATACAGTATATATATAACCAGTTTATAGTACCTCCTGATAGTCCGGCATATCTGATAATCCAGCACCACCTAGGTCCCATAGGTTCCGGATTATCGGAAGTCTACTGTACTTAGAAACTGTGTCCCTAGAAATTAATTGGTGAGAGTTGGCATGTCTGCATTGTAAATGAGGGAAAAGATGGATTGGCAGGCAGGGGATGTGGGCAGGGAACAAGGAAGATGTAGATTTGAGGAGAGAGTGCAGGACTATGCTGGGATGAGAGCAGAGCAGTGAGAGGTCACAGAGGGATGAATACAGCTTGTCTTTGCATTGTCCTATTCTGGGCAGTTCCCCAGTTTGTCATTATTACAAGGATATGGGGGAAGGCTTTCTCTATGCACCTCCTCTGGCCAAGCAGTTCCCAGACACCATGACAGTGTCCCAGAGTTTCACGCAGATATTGGAGCAGATTGTACCTGCTCTTCTGCAAGCTATTTTGAGTACAACAGTCAGTGACTTATGGAAGTTTTGGGAGATGCAGCCACATTCCTTTCAAGACTGCCTGTGGACAGTTCCTGCTGTCCCTCTGGGCTCCTTATCAATTCCACCACGACCATGAGCACCATGATTTATGGACTGGCCAAAATAAATCATCACAATTTAAAGAAAAACAAACACTCTTTTGGTGATGTCCCAAGGCTCTCTCCTGCCACTTAGTGGACAGAATCAACCAATACTGTCATAGTTTCTTAAAGACTGGTAACTGTGAAGAATAAGGTCCAGATACTCAAAAACACAAAGGGTATGTTTACATTGCAGTGCTATTTCGAGTTAACTTAATTTGAAATAGTTAATTCGAATTAAGCTAATTCGAAATAATGCATCTAGACACAAAAACTATTTCAAAATAGCATTTTGCTATTTAGAAATAGTGCGTCCACACTGAGTGGACCCTGAACCGAAGTTAAGGCTGGCCGGAACCAGTGCCAGCAGGGCGTCAGGTTAGGACTTAGTGTGTGGGACTACTGCCTGAGGCTAACCGAACTCCGTGCTTCAAGGAACCCTACCCCCACCCCGGACAGACAGTTCTCAGGGTTCCCTGCTTGCTTGTCTACCTTGATGAGGGACCAGACAGACAGTTCTCAGGGTTCCCCGCTTGCTTGTCTAACTCGATGAGGGACAGCAAAGCAGTCCTGGCTTGGAGTGCCCTGAATGCCCACACCAGGCACATCACAGCGCTCGGCCATCAGCCCGGCTGCCCTTGCTGCAGGCTGCCATCCGGGGGCTCCATGAGGGGGCTATCAGGCTCCAGGAGGCCCTGAGGGAGAGCGTTCACCCTGAGGAGCCCTCACAGCCTCCCCGGTCCTCCCCACCAGGGGCTCGTGCCCCATTCCTCCCTTACGTCCTTCCACTTACCCCTCCCCAACCCCCCCTTCCTGATGTCAAATAAAATAAAACATGTATGTTCAAAAATAGAAACTGGGTTTATTGAACAAAACTGGGGGGGGAACAGACCTCTGGGGAGACTGGGAAAAGGAGTGGGATGGGGGAAGAGAGAGAGTGGAAGAGGGCTGGGGGAAACCTGGGAGGAGGGAGCTGGAAGGGGGATGCAAGGGGAAGAAGGGGGAGGGGAAGCTCAGGGTCTCGCCGGACCAACTTGACTTTCACGCAAACCTGCTCCTGGGTTTGTATGTGGCCTTTGGTGGCCAGGCTGGCAGCTATCCTGCCTTAGACGGCCACATTCCTCCATCTAGTGCGGAAATCATGGACGTTGGGGGCATCCCCCCCAAACCTGAATAAGGTCCATGATCTCCACCCTGGACCAGGAAGGCGGCTGCCTTCTCTAGCCCCTATTAGGCTCCTGGGAGCTGGCAGACTGCTCCTGGGGAGCGGTAGAGGGTTGGCTGCTAGTGGTTTGCTGGCTCGTGTTTTGAGGCCTCTGGGTTGGGGCAGTGACTGCTGGCTCTGGGCTGGCAGGCTTGGAGCTGGCACAGGCACTGTGGCCAGGGTCTACCCCTTTAATGGCTCTGGGGCTGGAGGAGAGGAGAGTAAGTTTTCCTGGTTCTGCTACCAGGGCTCCCTAGGAAGGGCTGGAGGCTCCCTATTTCGAATTAAGTGTCTATACAGCACTTAATTCGAAATAGCTATTTCAAATTTGGTGTTACTCCTCGTAGAATGAGGTTTACCAAATTCAAAATAAGGGCTTCACTATTTCAAATTTATTTTGAAATAGCGGTTTGGCTGTGTAGATGCTAGTAAAGTTAATTCGAAATAACTGCTGTTATTTCGAATTAACTTTGTAGTGTAGACATAACTTAAGGTACTTGAGTTGCAATGTTCCCCAAAACCCCTACTGAGTCTAAAAATCCCTATTTGGCTGCCACTGAACCCTGTGGGTACTTAAATTCACTTGGCATCTAACTTTTTGCTGTAACAATTCCCTAGCTGCTCAAATGTCTGCACTGGGGGATGCATTCTTCTGCCTATCTCTTGCCTAAACGCCACTGCAATCCACAGGCTGGACAAAAATACCTGCGGAAAAATCCTGTGTGTCCTGCTCTGTCTGGCAGGCATGCTCAGAGACCGACCACCAGACTGGGTCCCATTCAAAATCCGACTGGAGGAGCTTACTCCATCAGCCTTGGAATGCTCAGCATCTTGTTCTAGAGCTCAGACCCCAACAGCCTGCCAGAAACCCACAAGCTTCACCAATGACCTAAAGATGGGTCATCAGTGGGATTGGGACCAAAGTACATCAGCATTTGAGCTTCTTGGAGCAGCAAAACATGTTTAATCCCTAGCAAAACAATGGATTTTCCCCACATCCCATTCTTTGAAACTGCTGGACCAATTTTGTTGGAACTTTGCAAAAAACTTCAGTGTCAGGCAGACACCAGGCATTGGGAATTTTACCCTGAATAGTTAAAGTTTGATGAAGTTATAAGAGTTTTATAGTGGAAAGAAATAGCCAACTTTAACTATGACTTTTGCTGCCAGCTATACCACTGACTAAGACAGAGAGAAATCACAGGCCAAATTGTCTTTCAAAATAACATGCTCTCCTGGTTTTCCTCCCATCTGCCTGACCATTTCTCCCATTTCACTTCTGGTGGATCCTCCCCCCCGTCAATGGGGTTTTCCAAAGCTGTGCCCTTTGCCCCTACCTTGACTTCCTGTCTCACCTGAACCCAAGGAGCTGAGGAATTAGCTCTATGCTGCTGCCTCTACAATTTCTCTTTCCAACGCTGGATAGAAAGAGAAATATCATAGAATCATAGGACTGGAAGGGACCTCGAGAGGTCATCGAGTCCAGCCCCCGCCCTCAAGGCAGGACCAAGCTCCACCTACACCATCCCTGACAGATGTCTATCTAACCTGTTCTTAAATATCTCCAGAGAGGGAGATTCCACCACCTCCCTTGGCAATTTATTCCAATATTTGACCACCCTGACAGTTAGGAATTTTTTCCTAATGTCCAATCTAAACCTCCCTTGCTGCACTTTAAGCCTTGTCTCCTTGTCCTGTCCTCAGAAACCAAGAGGAACAAATTTTCTCCTTCCTCCTTGTGACACCCTTTTAGATATTTGAAAACCGCTATCATGTCCCCCCTTAATCTTCTTTTTTCCAAACTAAACGAGCCCAGTTTCAATCTCCTACTTTGGCCTGTCTCGCTGATATCACCTTTGGGACATCTTGTCACCTGTTGGGCTTATCATGACCAAAAGCAAGCTCCCTCTCTTCCTGCCCAAATCTTCACCACGTCTCCCTTTTCAACCAGCACCATCCTTCATCTCCCAGGTCCAAAATCTGGTGGTTACTTTTTCCTCCTCCCTTTTCCTTCCCCCATACACGAAAATGTTGCTGCTGCTTCCTTATTACCTAACCAGTAACACCCTTCTCTTTCCCATCCCAGCAGCCTCACCTCTCATTCTGGCCACTTTGCTCCCCACCTTTTCTATGGTAGCACACCCCTCGCTGACTTCCCTAGAGCAGCTTACCAGATACAAACCTACTTACCAGCCTGCGTGGACTTCCGCCTAGCTTTCTTGATTTCCTCTTCTGTCTTGTTGCTGAGCTTTATCTCCAGCTGCTGGGTTTTCATTTCCAGGTCCTTCTGTCTCTCTGACAGGGCTTTCCGGGCCTTGAATAAACAAAGCACAACAGAGATGTGTCTGTGTGCATGTGTGTACAACTGGCAGAGGCTTTGTTGATGATCTAAGATCATCATGTTACACTGACAACCCTGCCAGGCCCCGAGTGGCTAATGTGACTGGTGAGCATGCATGAAAATGGTTATTTTCACCTAATGCCTTAGTGATCTATTAACCTAGAGAGTGGGAAGGATAGAGTTAGAGATACAATTCAATGTGACAATATCTCCAGACCTGACACTGCCTCCCTGGTTTCCTATGAATCACCAGAACAGAACAAGCCTTTAGGAGTCTAGAACAGCCAAGTGCACACAGCCTCTGGCAGAACCCTCTCCTGTGGACTTAGCAGCTGAAAATAAGTTTTCTAGGAGTTGTTTTTTTCTTGGGTCCCATCAAAATTCACTTTGCTTCCTTCTCTACTCTTACCTTTTCTACTGCTGCATAGCGACTAGCCAGCTGCTTTCGTAAATCTGCGATGTGGTGGTCGTATTTCTTCATGTCCTTCTTAAAGTTCTCTCTGAAGTTGAGCAGTGGTTTCTCCACTTCACTCTGAAGCTGGGAATAGCAACAGAGAGGGGCACTGAGAAGTGCTAACAGCCCGGAGCAGTTACCGGTTTCTCCAGTATGGCTTGCAAGAATGGACAAGAATTTAGTACACATACTTAGCCAAAGATGAAATTTTAGTAGCATAAAGGCAAAATGGTCTGGGGAAATGTTCCGTCCCCAAAGAAAGCTCCGAGCAAAGCTGCCTCTGCCCTGACCCACCAGGTAAGGGATTGTAGGAGGAATTTCTCAAAGGCCATGAGATTCTTTGGACCTTCCTGCCATCTCTCAGAGAAGCCTGAACCCTTTAATCTCCTATGGAGATGCTTGTTCAGTCACCTTCACTAGGCCTTATGCACAGGTAATGAATTCCTCCTGCCCATGCCCTGCAGGGGCAGTGCTGCTGTTATCTCCATTTTCTGATGGGAACTCAGACCCAGAGCTAGAGTGCGACTAATCCCATGTGACCCAGAGGCAAGACCAGGAATAAAACCTAAACCTAAACACAAGACTGTCCTGCCCCAGCTCGAAGGTGGCAGGAAGCTGCCTCTCTCAGGCACAACTCAGCCCTCAGTCACACCCTGCATTCTCCAGTGAGCTGGAGACCACAGTCTGTCAGTGCAGCCTACTCTGCAGGTGACCCTGGACTACAGTGAGCAGGAGGGAGGGCAATCATAGAATCATAGGAATGGAAGGGACCTCGAGAGGTCATCGAGTCCAGCCCCCCGCCCTCAAGGCAGGACCAAGCTCCACCTACACCATCCCTGACAGATGTCTATCTAATCTGTTCTTAAATATCTCCAGAGAGGGAGATTCTACCACCTCCCTTGGCAATTTATTCCAATATTTGACCACCCTGTTTGACCACTCTGACAGTTAGGAATTTTTTCCTAATGTCCAATCTAAACCTCCCCTGCTGCACTTTAAGCCCATTACTCCTTGTCCTGTCCTCAGAAACCAAGAGGAACAAATTTTCTCCTTCCTCCTTGTGACACCCTTTTAGATATTTGAAAACCGCTATCATGTCCCCCTTTAATCTTCTTTTTTCCAAACTAAACTAGCCCAGTTCATGGAGCCTGGCTTCATAGGTCATGTTCTCTAGACCTTTAATCATTCTTGTCGCTCTTCTCTGTACCCTTTCTTGAAATGTGGCGCCCTGACTATGGTTCTGCCTCCTTCCCTTTGCACTGGGAAATTACAAGCTGCTTAACAAAGGAGGAGGGAAGTGGCCACGGAATAAATGGCCTGCAGTGTTTCCCAGCCCTCTCATGAGCTGTGCAAGAGGCAGGTGGCGCCTTGGCCCCCTGGTACTCCCTGCACACAAGCTGGTCACACCTTGGCCTGTGACTCTGAAGCCTGCTGCTATCACTGAGACTATCAGTATCACTCTCTGCATAGATGGCCCCTCTTCACTGCAGGGGTTTTGGAGCGTTAATGATTAGCTTTTTACAGAACCTGGATCTAAGGTAGGATGCTGAGCTCTCTGATAATGTGGCCTTAGGTGTTGCAGGCTGGGAGTCAGATTACTTAGGCACTCAAAATCTTATTTTGGTCTTATTGTCTCATGCCTCAGTCAGTGTTCCCTCTCATTTTTTTCCATCCATTGGCAAAATAAATATTATTATGTGCACCAAGAAAGTGTGGATGAACACCACCAATACAAACACATGGGTGGCTGCGGGTGCTCTCCTACTCAGGTAGGCAGCACCTGAATCTCTCCTGAAGAGCCACCCATATGCTCATCTTACAGGGAACACTAGCCTCAGTTTCCCTCCCTGCCACTCACAGGTGTTGCTAAGCTACATTGATTAATATTTGTTTGGCTTAGGCCACATCTCCACTTATGCGAAGAGTGGATCAATGTTCCAGCGATCTATCTTGCGGCGTTTGATTTAGTAGATCTAGTAAAGACCTGCCAAATCAAATGCTGAGGACACTCCCATAGATGCCAGTACTCCTACTTCTCGCAAGGAGTAAGGGAAGTCAACGGGAACATTTCTCCTGTCAACCTCCCACTGTGAAGATGGTGCTGAAGCTCAGTTTAAAGAACATTGATGCCAGTTACGTTATTTATGTAGCTGGAATTGTGTACCTTACAGCAACCTTCTCCCATAGTGTGGAACTGGTCTTATAGTTCAGAGATAAGCATAACAGAATAGCTCCTGGGGATATTCTTAATGCCTCACTTGTAGAGTTTCACAGGGGGTCCGCACATTGAGTGATGAAGAGACAAAGAAACCCTGAACAGCTGGATTGTTCTCTGAGCACTGTCTGCTTGGGCCGTGGGGTCAATGCTAACTCACATTAAGTTAACATGGGCAGACTAATTCTGGCATTTGCTAACTTTGATAGGCTTGACTTTGCAACCAAAATAAAGCACCTTTAAACAGGGCTCCCTCTAATTTTTCCACCCCTGAGAAAAATGAATTTTATTAAGTCCACCAACACAGAGGTGATTTGCAACAGGAAGGTACTGTGTGCCGTATCACATTTATACTGGTGCACATAATAAAATTCATGTGGTGAGGGTCGGGCCAACTGGTTCTGAGTGTAGGAGGGGTCTCAGGCCTGGGGCAGAGACTTGGGCTGCAGGAGTGTGAGGGCTTTGTCTGGGGGTGCAGACTCTGAAGTGGGCCTGGGGATGAAGCACTCGGGGCTGAGACAAAGTATTAGAGTGCAAGGGATCTGGCTGGGGGTGCAGGCTCTGAGGTGGGGCTGGGGAGGGGTGCAGAGGTGTGTGTGTGGGCTATAGACTAGGCTGTGGGTAGGGGGGCTCCAGGGCCGGGCCACTCTGACTGCAGCAGGATTGGGGATCTGGGCCGCTTGGGTCATGGCAGGACGAGGGGATGCGGGTAGCAAGTAAGGGTCTGGGTTGCCCAGCTGCAGCACTGTGGGGGGTGGTCTGGGAACTAGCTGCAGTGGGAAAGAGGTGGTCTATGAACAATCCGTAGCTGAGGGGGAGTGTGTCTGGACACAGGCCGCTGCAGGGCCAGGCAGCTCCGCTGCAATAGAGGAACTCTGGGGCTGAGCCGCCTGGGCAACTTTGTGATACCACGGAAGCTCTGGGGCTGGAATGCAACAGGTGGGGACAAGGGCCAGGTCTTTTCAGCTGCAGCAGGGGGACTGAGGCCAGGCCACGTTGCCTTTGGGCAGGAGCGTAGGGGGAGATGCCTGGTTCAAGCCATCCCTCCCCTGGCCACAAGGCTGGAGGCTAGGCAGTGGGTGGAGCAGCCCTCCTTCGTTCCTTGCACAGGTGCCTTAAGCCGCTGTGCAACACTAGCTAGGCAGTTGACCAGCTTACAGGGAACTACACTTGGGGTGTGTCTAGACTACATGGATCCATCAACGGAGCCATGGAAAGGAGTTTACTCGGAATAGTCAAAGAAGCCATTAAAATAACGGACTAGTTCGAACTAGGCTTAATCCTCGTAAAATTAGGTTTTCCTAGTTCGAACTAAGCGCTCCGCTAGTTCGAATTAAGTTCGAACTAGCGGAGCGCTAGTGTAGCGCCTATGAAAGTTAGTTCGAACTAACGTCCGTTAGTTCGAACTAACTCTGTAGTGTAGACATACCCTAACATATAAGAGACCCATGGTTCTCACCCCACAAACATTCCAGCCTAATGCTGAATTCTAATATACTGGGTTAACGCTTTCATTTCTAGCAAGGATGCAGCCCTATGGTTTGGAACAAAATACACTGTGTAGCTTGACCACATTCACAGTATAATTAATTGGGAATACTGGGGGTTTTTCCCTCTAACACACTGCTAGAACTGCCAACCCCATCTTCCTCTCCCACAAAGAGTAACCGTAATAAATGAGTGCATCTTAAAGTCGTGGGCAAATCTGCTAACAACTGGTAGTAAAACTACTAAGTAAAAAAAAAAACAAACCAACACTATTGTTAATGAAACAAAAGAGGAAGTGGCACTATGTGTGTATCTTCCTCAGCACATTTCAGAGTGGCATGTGGTCAGGGTTTAGGATTAGGGGAGTTGCTGGGAAGCATTGGAAGGGGCAGAGCAGAGAGAAGAACCCATATGCATTGTCCACACACGTTGTGCCCAGTCCACAGCATCTCACTTTTTACACCTTAGAAATCGATGCAAGAGGCCAACAGTGAGCAAAATGTATTCTATTAGACAGACCTCGGAAATGGTCTAGCTCTGAGAGCCACCACCTATGTATAAATGCCCTTGAGAGGACATACTATACTTTTCCTGTGGGACATAACTGCGTATGCACAGGGGCCCAGAGCCACGCTGATCAAGCAATGGGACCATAGTCACTCCTAAAGATTACTAAGAGCCACACACAGTTATATCAGTTGTACTGGGAAAGAACAGAAGCATGGTAAGTAACATTGCCATGGGAATCAATTAACAGAGGAGCAAAAAAAGGCCTATTTAGAAGTGCTCCTACTGTATTTGCTAGACAGCAGCCCAATGCTGAGGAGCAAGACTCCTAGGATCTGATTTCAGCTCTGGCGAGAGTGGGGTGTAACAGTTCAGAACGACGTGTGCAGAGTATAAGCAAGCACGCAGATTAGACAAATTTCCTTAGTGCTCCCAGATGTTTGCCAGTTGGGCCACCTACGTATGTTCATATTTTCCTTAATAACCACCTCCAAAGGCCACTACCAAACTCCTGGAGAATGTACTGTGTGAGTAGAGGAGCTTGCAGATTACCTTAGAAGAAAATTTGAGATGAACCTCTGCTTCATCAGCCAGACTCTTCTTCAGCTGGGCCCAGGCCTCTCCAACAGTGCTGAAAAACACAATGCATCACTGGTCAGTGCCCTGAGATGTGCCCATGCACAGCCCCCACCAGAATTCATGAGACAACCATTTGTGCAGTATTCATTGTTATCAATCCCTGCATTGCATCACACTCAGGACCATCCAGCCAAGACAGCTTAATCAATCACAGACCCTGGCCCCTCTAGCATTAAGCACCAGCTCTCACTGGGTACAAATATGATTTAGCTATGTGTCTGCTTCACAGCCCTCAGGTCTGTCTTGAAGCAAACCTCCAAAGTGCACAGTGTCCCACTTCTCACAATGAAAGAGGCTTTAGAAAGGGACATCCAATTTCAGACAGTCAAGAGAGCAATAGCAGCAGAGTGCCCAGAAGACAAAAAGCCTAGTAGAAGCAGAATCAATATTTTCAAAATAACAATGAACAGAGGGAATGTCTACACAGCAAACTTATTTTGAAATAACAGCCATTATGCCTCTTACGCAAGGAACTCCTTACCCTTCCTCTTGAGCAGCCAATGAGTTCTGAGACAGCTTGGACAAGTTCTTGGCATATTCTTCCTCAATCTTTATCCTACAGAAAACAGATAGCAATGAAAATATAGTAAAGATGGACAAAACCACCACACGACAAAGTAAATCAGATTTTCCACTGGACCCTCATACGAGTATTGCTTTTACCTATTATAATTAAACCATGGAACTCACTGATAAAAGATATTGTTGACCCATAAGAATGGCCATAGTGGGTCAGAATAGCCCAATACTCTCTTTTCTGACAGTGTCCAGTGCCAGATACTTTAGAGAAAGTGAACAAAACAGAGCAATTACTGTGATCCCATCCTCTCTTGTCCAGGCTCAGCTTCTGCCAGGCAGGAATTTAGGGACACCCAGAGCATGGGAGTATTATGAATTTTTCTGTTGTATTATCTATCACTTTGCAAATGGTTACTAACATTCTTTTAGATGTTTTGACTGTAGTTGCACATTAAGTGCTATCCATGACAACTCCAAGATCTTTCTCTCTCTCAGTGGTAACAGCTAATTTAAACCCCACTGTTTTGTACATATGGATTATTTTTCCAATGTGCATTACACTTAATCTCATCTCCCATTCTGTGGCACAGTCACCCAGTTTAGTAAAATCCCTTCGAAAGTCTTTACATTCAACTTTGGACTTAAATTTCTTGAGTAATTTTGTATTATCTGTAAATGTTGCCACCCAACTCCTCACCCCCTTTTCCAGATAATTTATGAATATGTTGAACAGCAATCATCCCACTACAGATCCTTGGTGGACCACACTATTTACCTTTCTCCATTGTGAAAACTGACCATTTATTTCTACCTCTTGATTCCTGTCTTTTAACTAGTTACTGATGCACCAGAGGACCTTCCTTCGTGTCCCATGACAGCTTGCTTTGCTTAAGAGCTTTCCGTGAGGGACTTTGTCAGAAGTTTTGTAGATGTCAGAAGTAACTATATACAAGAGTGTTGATATGTATTTTTAATGTGCACTTTGGCACAAATGTGATTTATTGTTTAATTATTGGGGTTAGACTGTCATGAAACTGTAAACATGCTATAGGAGTGACCTAACTGCCATAAATGTCATTGAAAAGATGCCTATTACCTGGGAGTTGAATTACACTCCCTTTGCACTTGTGTAAATGATTGTACAAGGTTTAGGGGACAACAGAGTCCTCAGTGCTGCTTGAAGTATTAGCATGCATGTGATTGTATAATGCTTAGAACCGTGCTTGGGGGAGAGAGCACTGGCCCCGGGCGCTCAGCGCTTGGGGGAGGGGGGGAGAGAGCGCCAGCGCCGGCCCCGGGCGCACGGCGCTTGGGGGAGGGGGGGAAGAGAGCACCAGCGCCAGCACCGGGAATGTGGCTATGGGGGGGGCCCCGCTCGGGGGGGCCCCACCCCCCAGTCGCCCGGCGGGCGATCGGCCACGCCCCCTGGCGCCCGGCAACCCCAAATGGTTGGGGACCACTGCACTAGAGCATCGTCTATGTACTTGTTGACCTCAACGAATTCTACTAGATTGGAGAGACATGATTTCCTTTTGCAGTAGTCATACTGCTTCTTTACCAACATATCCCATTTACCTGAGTGTCTGATCATTCTGTTTCAATCAATTTGCCTGATACCGAAGTTAGGGTTACTAACCTATAATTGCCAGGATCACTTTGGGAACCCTTTTTAAAAATTGCCATTACATTATCTGTCCGCCAGACCTATGGTACAGGGGCTGCTTTAAGCAATCATTTACATGTAAAAATTAGTAGTTCTGCAATTTCACATGCAAGATCCCTCACAACTCTTGGGTGAATACCATCTGGCACCGATGACTCATTGCTATTTAATTTATCAATTTGTTCCAAGATCCCCTTGACTGGCATCTCAATCTGGGACAGTATCTAAGTTCTGTTACCTAAAAAGAACGGCTCAGGTGTGAGAATCTCTCCCGCATCCTCTGAAGTGAAGTCCAATACAAAGACTTCATTTAGCTTCTTGCAACAATCTTCCCTGAGTATTCCTTTAGCACCTAAAATGCCCTACATTTCAAACACGCAGCTTCTATCCATAGAAATTCTAAGGTAGCTTGATTTATTCAAGATTTTCACTTTGCCTCTGCTTTCTTTCACATGTGGTGCTGCTCCCTTCCTAGAGAGTGGCATTACATGTGAAATAATCTGTCATTCCAATACATTTTGTATCCTGGTATTACTGTATTCCATCCATTATCCTCATTCTACCAAGTTAAGTGACTCACAAACCTTAAAGAGACATGGGAAGTCTAAAGCTAATGGGTGTGCTGAGGGAGAACATTGTTTGGCCAAGATGGGAGAGCTTGGATGGATAGTAATGACATTAAATGTTTATGTTTCATAAAATAGGCACAGCTTCCACAGTTCAGGCTATGTGCTTGATTGATTGACATAAGTAAATAAATGGTGATTACAAGAAACACTAAACTAAACAGAAAGCTTCCAGTTACCTTTCTCGAACAAACTCTGCCATTTCTTTCTGCATTTGTTTCCCCTTGAGCTGCTTTTGAAGCAGAATTTCAAACCCTGATATAGTGTTGTTTCCTTGTTGATCCTTCTTATCAGCCTGGAAGAGAAATAGCAGCTAGGTCTTGTGCAATATGGGACATGTCATGGCTCCCAGGACCCTAACTCCAGCAATGCTGCCAAGAGATGGCATTCCAAGTATGGGAACAGCTGCTTCTCTTCACAGGAGGCTCCTCCTTGGGATCTAAGCTGCTAATCAAAACATTAAAGACACTTTGAAATGCATCAAACCATTACATGGTTCCTCCCCTCTAATCAGCATCCAGCTCATCAGTGCCTGGTAGAATGTCATCAATGTGATTCGCTTTTCAGTGTATAAAAGACAATCTCATTTCAAGGGCAACTAAGTAATGTCATTAACTCCATCTTTCAAGCACAGCTTATTTGTTACCTAGCCCTGTTCATTCCCGGGATAGGCTCCAAAGTCAGAGGAATTGTCTCCCTTTTTCATTTTCAACTTTTGTCTAACTTCACCCCTCCCCTGACACACAAGAACAGGGAATATTTCCAGAATTGCTGTGCTTTTGCCCCATTGCACTGCATGTTGTACTCACATATATAGCAAAGACTGCAGTAATCAAAAAAGCAAGATGATCAGGGCTTGGAAGAGAGTTTTGGCCAGATCCTGGAGAAGCTGTGCAGGAAGAGGTGGCACATGACATGGCTGATGTGTGGTTCAACAGAAAGTGAGGCGGCAAACAGAGGGGCAAAGTGTTTGGTCTGAATGATAGGGAAGGTGGTGGTGCTCTGCACCAGGACAGAGAAAGGGGGAAGACAAAAAGGAAGATCAGGAATTCAGTTTTGGCATGGTCCAGGGCAGAACAGCTCAGAGTCATCAGCAGGAGGAGAGGACGAGGGCTGAAGGCTAGTCTGGGATGCTGGAGATGCGATTTCACATCCTGTGCCACAGACTCAATGTGTGACCTTGGCCAAGACCATTCAGGCCACGTTCATGAAGGTGTTCAGGTGCCCAAAGACGCACTGAGGCGCTTTGTGGAATTGTCAGAAGCATGAATGAATTTAACGTCTACCAAGGTAAGCCTCTTCAGAGAAAGCAGGCCGTTGGTGAAGCTCGGACTGGGGGGAGGCAGGCCCCCAGTCCCACCTACAGCCCTGCCCCCTCTGCTGAGACCCCAGCCCCACCATGGGGAGCGGAGGAGAAGGAGCAGTGCACCAAGCATACGCACTCGCCACCATGGGGAGGGGAAGAGCACGTGTGCTCCAGCCTTCCTAGAGCAGCAGGGAGGGAAGAGGCCACATGGCCCAAGCCTTTCCAGCCCCTGGAGCAGCAGGAAGGGAGGCAGCCGCATGGCCCAAGCGTCCCCAGAACATGCAGAGTGCGGGTGCTGGGGGGCAGCAAAACTCCATCCCCAGAACACTTCAGTAGGCATGGGCGGGGCCTGGCTGGAGGTCTGGGAAAGCAAAGCCTTGCGCTGCCTAAGCCACCGGATGTCCATGGGAGAAAGTGTTAGAAAACTGGCCCTGCCTCCCGTAGGCCCCTCTGAAAATGCCAGCCCAAGGGTTTGCCTACATTACAGATGCTACAGTGGCACAGCTATTGCACTGCAGCACAGCTGTGTAGACGGAAGGGTTTTTTTTCCATCGCTGTAGATAATCCGCACCACTGAAATCGCTAGTCCAATGGAAAAATTCTTATGTTGACTGAGCGACTTGCAGTGGGGCTTAAGTACATTTAGCTATGTCACTCAGAGTGTGAACACCCTGAGAGATGTATCTAGGTTGACCTACATTTTAGGTGTAGACTAGGCCTCTGTCCCTATCTGTACAATGGGCATAGGCTTGCCTAGCAGGAGTATGTGAGGATTAATACATTACAAATTGTGGGGTGCTCAGCTACTGTGGGGTGCTCAGCTACTGATGGGAGCCAGATTAGCACCACAGACAGGTAAAGATGATTATCAAAGTGGTGCTTGTGGACGAGATCACCAAGGGAAGAGCAGGGAACCATCTCAAGTCTTATTGCCATATCAGACCCTTTCAATACTCCCACTTCAGCCAGGCCCATGCTACTTGGGAAGAAAATGTCTACTGCTGAAATTGCCTTGCTGGTGTAGCAAACGTCTCACACTAACCTATAAGCTACATGACCACTTGTATCTAGCCCTTCTGGGAAACAAACCTGGACGGTAAGTGAAGAAATTCTCAATTATTTAGAGCTTTCTGGGTCTGTCATTTGGACACAAGTAATTGCTTCACTTACTGACCAGGAGAGGCCTCTGACACATCTGTTATATCAGGGGATCTTTGTCAGCCACTGGCAGCTCTGTTACTAAATCTGCAAGGCAATCTCTTTCTGTAGTTCTATACATGGTCTGAGCACAGCCATCATCAGGCCGTGGCTGTTCTACCGTGGGCATCCCCTCAGGATCTGTTCTGCCACATACAACTTTGAAGATATGAGTAATGGTGGATAAGTACAAGCAACCCCTGACTTACGACCACCCTATTTATGACTCCCCATATTTACAACCGCCCTACTCCAGCTGTCGCCTCCACCTGCCTCCACCCAGTGCACTGGGGACTACAACTCCCAGGAGGCAAAGCAGGCCAGGAATGGAACCCCCATTTTTATTATTGCACCTATGGGGGAAAAGGGTTCAACTTATGATGATTCTCCAGGAACCATTTAGGTCATAAGTATGGGGGTCGCCTGTAAACTTTTTATTGGAGCATATGAAATAATGGAATATCCATCCCACAAGAAATGCTGAAATCTTGTTTTACCTCAAACGGGGAGACAAAATCAAAGTCTCTAAATTTTTCATGAAAATTAAATATTCTGAAGGATTTTGTTTATAATCTCAGCTATTGTCATAAAAGTAAAATGATAAAGTTAAATAAAACATGCTGATTAATCTAAATTTTCAATTGGAAGTTAACTGTTTCACAGCCTGAAAGCAGTTTGACTTGACTGAGTTGTCATTTTCTGACAGAAGCTATTGAACCAGCTGTTAGTCTCCTGAATTCAGTTCCTCAGGCTGGTACCATTTCTCAGTATTGCTAGGGATGGGGGAAGACAGAAAGGATACTGCAAGCTACACATGATTTCCATTTTTTGGCTCCAGTCCCCAAATTTTCAGCTGGTGTGACTTTGACTTTGTACTCTGCATATCTGTTAGCTGCGCTGTAGCACATGGATGTTTACAGCCCTATGAGTCTCAGGTAACGTTTGGGGGAAGAGAAGGCTGCTCAGCCTCCCTTTCACAAGAGAGCAATGTCTTCAGTATTTTCCACATGTTCTTTTCTGGCCTTGGGCTTCACATGAGCAGAAAGTTATCTGCCTCATCTCCCAGAGTACAGATGAGGAGATGAAGCCCGAATCTTATAGCCGATTCATCTACCAGCATGGAGGAAGCAGCTGCAGGATCTTGGTGCTCCTCACAATTAGCAAGTCCTGATACAACATGAATAGCTTGTTCACTTCGGCCAGGCTGATATATCAGCAACATTTCAGCTCACTAGAAGAGTTACAGGAGACACTGACCAATTTTCCTTGACAAGAATCACGGTGTCTCTGCAAAAGTATATTTTAGGGTATCTTCCCTAGTCTGGCAAATTCTTTGGTTTGGAACCAGTCAGGTCTTGAGGGTGGGTGCCAGATCAGGGTATTTCAACATGTATTTCATAATGAACCACAGTGTGGCCAAGCAAGCAATGTTTGTCTTGCCCACTCCTTTCTGAGGCTCCTTGCTGCCACATGTCCAAGATTTTCTGTAGACAGACTCCACTCACTTGGAGTTTGGTCTTTTCTCTGCCTTCCCTATCTGTTCTCCAAATTGGAGCTTCTCCTGCCCTCTCAGCCTGTCTCAGAACCTTAGCTGCTCTGTGTGTCCTCAGTGTAGTCTGCTCTGGTGCTTGGGCTGAGGCTAAGAAAGCATGCTCTCTCCTTGCAGGGGCTGTTTTCTCTCTCTTGCCCATGGAGCCTTTCCCTTGTTTCTCTGTTCTGGAAAGCAACTCTAGCACCACACTGTGTTGTGTGATAATGCAGAGCAGGTGCTGCTTCTTGCTACAAAGAGACTTTTTCAAAGCCCACTTACCACTCTGAATTGTGATTTGCATTCTAACAAATTCCTAGAAATTCATTCCACTCTTCCTGAAACTCAGAAGCTGCAGTGTCTGGCATGTGCCCGGTTGCCTACTTACCCAGAAATAATCACAGTAGCTCCATTCAGTGGGTTTCAGCAACTGCTGTTCTGGCATTGTGTCTGGGTGGGGAAAAGTCACACAGTTTATCTGTAAAAAAAAAAAAAAAAAAAATCAAGCAAACAGCCTGTCAAATGGGGCAAATTAACCTTATGAAATGGTAAGCAGCAAGCGAGTGAAATTTGTGCAAATCCCAAACAGCAAGTCTAGATGACATGCATTTCACCATCAGAGAACTAGCTGTTGAATTTGCTGAGGTTTAGGCAATAATATTTGGAAAAATACAGGGTGCAAAGAAGTAGCAACTGCTTGGAGGAAAGTAAATATGACACTAATTTTCAAAAAGAGAAAGAAGCCAGATTCTGGCAACATCCAGGAAGTTTAAGCTGTATGGGTATGTCTACTATGTCTATACTACTAAGTTAATTCGAATTAACAGCCATTATTTTGAATTAACTTCAATAGCGTCTATACATACAAATGGCTATTTCAAATTTAAAAGAATTGAAACCGAAATAGCAGAGTGCTTATTTTGAATTTGGTAAACCTCATTCTACGAAGAGTAACGCCAAATTTGAAATAGCTATTTTGAATTAAGTGTTGTGTAGACACTTAATTCGAAATAGGGGGCCTCCAGCCCTTCCCAGACAGCCCTGGTGGCCACTCTGGGCACAACCAGGAAAACTTACTCTCCTCTCCCCCAACCCCGAGGCCCTTAAAGGGGTCGAGTCTGGCCACTGGGCACTTGTGAGAGCCAGGCCTGCCAGCAGCCCCAGTCCCTCACCCAGTGGCCTCACAATGGCAGCCAGCCGTCTCCCGCCCAATCCCCCAGCACCCAGGGGCTGTAGATGGCGCGTGCCCTCGTGGCCTAGTGCGGAGATCATGGACCTCTTTGATGTTTGGGGGGAGGCCCCCAATGTCCGTGAACTCTGCACTAGGAGGAGGAACATAGCCGTCTACAGCCACATAGTGGCCACCATGGCCAGAAAGGGCCATAGGCGTACACAGAAGCAGGTGCGCCTCAAAATGAAGGAACTGCGTCAGGCGTACACCAGGGCCACCAGGGGCAGCGCCGCAGCAGGGGCTGACACCTGCCCCTACTTCCCACCCTCAACCACATCCAGGGGAGTGGGACGGCCTGCACCACCACGGGGGGCCACGAGCCGGGACTGGAGGGCCCTGACCTGGGCGCAGCAGAGGGGACATCGCTATGGGTGCAATGCCAGCAGGACCCCCAAGCTGTCCCAGCACTGAAGAAGCTGCCCTGCTTCTTCCCCCAAGCACCCACCCCAATTTCCACTCCAATGATGTTGGCTCCTCTGCAGCTGCTGCTGGAGCAGAACCCCACAGCTAGTGGCAGCAGAGAAGCGGGCACTGACCTTCCCTAGTTTGGCAAATTCCCTGGTTTGGAACCAGTCAGGTCCTGAGGGTGCTGGATCAGGGTGTTTCAACATGCATTTCACAATGAACCACAGTATGGCCAAACAATCAACTATATAGTTTAGCAGCGGATGTTCCCTCCTCCCCGGGATTCTCATCCATATACATGATGAAATCACTGTCCAATATTTATATTTATCCTTACTGCTTAATGTGTGGCCTTAACATTTAACCGGTTAACTAACTGGGATTTTGCATCCCTATAAGGAACCACAGACATTTTGTAAGCAAGTCCACTTTTTCCTTAACATAAAAGCATTACAGAGGAAAAAACAGTAAAAGCACTAAAAGACCCACCACATGTGAATAAGCTGAGAAGAGGCCATCCCAACTCCTACATGTACTCTGGCAGGAGAGTGCTTCAAATTCCTGCCCCAGAGCATCATCATGCTTACACATTCATCGCAGCTTCAGCTCAGAACAAGCACCCAGACCTATGGGGCCTGAGCAAGCCCAGTCCTTCCTCATCCTCCCTTAAGGACTGGGGCCTCCGTGAGCCAGGGATCCTGTTTGCCAGATCAGGAAGACAGTGGTGTAGGATTTTATCCAAAAATCTTTAAATTTTCTATTGGTCTGCATAGAATCCATTTTGCATAGTTATACAAATCTTTCTCCAAGGGGCATCTAAGGCTGGTTCATTAGCATCCTTCTCTCTACTAGAATGCATACAGTCACTGTGTCAGACTTTCTCCAATGCGTCTACATCCTTTCTGTAATTGGGGGGTCCAGAACTGGATGCAAAACTCCAGATGTGGCCTCACCAGTGCTGAGTAAAAGGGAACAATCACTTCCCTAAATCTGCTGACAATGCTCCTCTTAATGCATCCCAAAATGCCATTAAGGTAGTGGTCTAGTAAGGCCATTAGCCTTCTTGGATACAAGGACACACTCTTGACTTATATCCAGCTTTTTGTCCACTGTAATCCCGAGGTCTTTTTCTGCAGAACTGCTTAGCTAGTTGGTCCCCAGCCTGTAGCAGTACATGGGATTCTTCTGTCCCAAGTGCAGGACTCTGCACTTGTCTTTGTTGAATCTCATCAGCTTTCTTTTGCTGAGGGTGCACTCCGTCTCCTCATCCAAATCATTAATAAAGATGTTGAACAAAATCAGGCCCAGAATCGACCGTTGGGGCACTCCACTTGATACCAACTGCCAACCAGACATCGAGCCATTAATCACTACTTGTTGGGCCCAACAGTCTAGCCAGCTTTCTATCCATCTTACAGTCCATTTATCCAATCCATACTTCCTTAACTTGCTGGCAAGAATATTGTGGGAGACCGTATCAAAAGCTTTGCTAAAGTCAAGGTATATCACGTCCACTGACTTTCCCATATCCACAGAGCCAATTTCCTCATCATAGAAGCTAATCAGATTGGTCAGGCACGACTTGCCCTCGGTGAATACGTGTTGACTATTCCTGATCACTTTCCCTTCTTCCAAGTGCTTCAAAATGGATTCCTTGAGGATCCCCTCCATGATTTTTCTGGGGACTGAGGTGAGGCTGACTGGTCTGCAGTTCCCTGGATTTTCCTTCTTCCCTTTTTTACCCCCCTAGTTCGAACTAGGGGGGTAGTGTAGACATACCCTACCAGTTGAACCCAATGACGTAGCCAGCTTTCTATCCAACTTACAGTTCATTTATCCATCCATACTTCTTTAATTTGCTGACAAAAATACTGTGGGAGACTGTATCAAAAGCTCTGCTAAAGTCAAGGTACAATCACATCCACCTCCTTTCCCATATCCACAGAGCCAATTACCTCATCACAGAAGGAGATCAGGTTAGTCAGGCATGACTTGTGTCTCAAACTCCTTTATCCGTCTGCCAGTGAAGCCAACCTGACCCCCCCTCCCGAGTGCAGATGGAGCTAGACCAAAAAAACTCTTCCTTTGACCTAGATACTGCTACTCTAGTACAGAAAAACCCTTTCAGTTGCTCTATGCACAGAGGCATAGATATATGAGGCAGAGGCATAGTTATGCCACTGTAGCACATGTGCAGATATGGCCTCATTCTGAAGAGCAACAATGATGGGCACTTGGAAATGCAGATGAGGCAGACAGGATCCAAAGTGAGTTGCCATTAAGCAAAGGGAGAAGAAACAGATTTATACCACTGTAAACAGCTCTTCAGCTATTGGGAATAGGAAGCCTCTTGTTATTATAAGTACTGTTTACAGAGACATTGTGAAAGGAGAGCTGTTGGAGCAGCAGCTTTAAAAAAAACTCATGAATGACTTTCCTTGTGTCTTGCAGCAAGTTCTGAAGGTAAACATCAGCAAGAAAACTGCTTTTCCTCAACAGAAAGTTCAGACACTCAGTGTCTTCCCTCTGTGGTGTGGTGAGAATATATTCAGATATACTGCCAAATGTACCAGATTCAATTGGGTGAGTTATCCTTGAATTGAAAATCCATGAAATCCATGTGCACAATCTCATCTCTGAAATCCAGAACTGACCACTAAAGTCCACATACACAGTTTCATCCAGAGGGATTAACACCGCCCTGTTCTGTAAAGCGAAGTTGCAAATTACTGAATGTGGCTCAGTAAATAAGATGTTAATTAACACTGATGAACACCAGTGCTTGCACTTTCTACCAGAAACCTCCACACAACTGGATGCTTTGCCAGATATGAATGCCCTTGCATTACTGTCTTTCACTTAGAGGGAAGTTCCACTAGTAGGATAATTGCCAGAATCGTTCTTCATTGAAAATAAGGTGCTAAATTCCCACATCTCCAATTTTTCATTCCATCCTGAGTGTCCCTAAGTTTTCAAAATGAAATGGCAGCAGTCTAGTAAGCACGTTTAGACATGCCACGCAGAGCAGCTGATTTCTATAGTAGGTATTCACATTTTCCAAGTACTTCCTTACCAGCTTTTGATCACCAGGTCATAAGACCATAAGAATGGCCGTACTGGGTCAGACCAAAGGTCCATCTAGCCCAGTAGCCTGTC